ATTATACAATATATTCATTAAAAATTATTATTTTTTAATATGAAATTAAAAACAAACAAACTCAAAAATACAATTATATATATAGAATTGAAGAATTTATTGAATCAATTATATTTATATTATCTTTTAATAATTAAACTGAAACAAGTATTAGAAAGTATATTAAGAAAAATATATATCAATTATTTTTCTAAAGCAAAATAAGGAAAGTGGGAACTGGCGTCCCCTCCAATTTTTTAAATTCAAGTAGGGGAATTTCTCTCCCCTTTTTTTTCTCTTTCCCTCCCCCCTCTCCTCAAACCAAAGACTTTTTCAAATAAAACAGATTCTGAGTTATAAAGCAATCACCTTCCAAAACTATAAATCATTCAGGATTTTATTCAATTAGGTTCTTCTTGTTAAGTTTACATCCTGTGATGGAGTTGTGAATGAATCTCATTTTTTTTTTTTTGACCAAGTTTACAAGGGTGGATATCGAACCCACCATGAGGAAAGGGGAAAATGCACTGCAAGGCAGCCCTAAGGCCGCTTGGCCCGAAGGGCCAAGTGCGTGAATGAATCTCATATTGAGAAATTAAATAGAGCAAAGCAAATGATTCATATATATATAAACACTAATAAACTTAATGAGTTAATTTTTTAAGTTCAAAATGATATTTTTACATAGATTTTTACTTAATATACCTATAACCCAATCTCTCTGTTGTGCTCCAGTCCTGTTGGCTCAAGTTGTTTTCCCAATGAACTTAAGGATTTAACTTTTTGGCCATCCATCTTTATTTATGTATTTATTTCAACTACGGGAATTTTGGGGGAGAGAAGCATGAGATTGGAAACAAAGCCTTCTAAGAGCTGTAATTATTCACTAACTGGATGCCCTTTGCCATCTGGGCTAAAAGCCCAGGCGCTTGGCCATCCATCTTTAAGGAAGCTTTGGTCGGACAGTTTTTAAGAGACCACCTTAAACAGTTGACGGTCTATGCTTCAACTTTAAGGCAGTTTGAGCCACTATCACTATCATTCTGACAGCCTCCAGCTGTTAAATCTTCCCGATGATGTAATTAAACTTGACACATTCAAAACTGCATACTTTATCCTATGATTAGATATATAATTAAATGCATTATATAACTAGGGTAGGGTAGCACATGATGAGTATTGTTGAACATATTAAGGGATTTAAAGAATCAATTATAAGGATTGAATTTTAGATTTGGTACTATTATTATTGTGTTATACTTAGGGTTTCTTGACTAATAGGCTAAGTTTATATAAAAAAAATGCTTATATAATACTTTTAACATTATTAAATAATAAAGAAAGACCTATAGAATAATTAGTTAAATTATTAGTAAAAAGTATTTCCTCACCTATATGGTTAGAATTCAAATCCTTATTTCTTCTCTTCATCCTTCTCCCTCGTAGGGATTTCAATTAGTTAGGTTGTTCATAAAAAAAA